TGTCAAGTACCAATATTATACAGGCGTTATTTAAAACTGCAGTACAGTAATAACATTCCTACTGTCGGGACCACATAAGTTTGCAGTTGAGAGAGGAGCCTATTTACCATATGGGTTTGAATGAACCAATGGGAACCGTGAGGTGTTGCCAAATCTAATAATACCAGCTGATTTGAAAATATTGCTTAGCATATTTTATTAATGCGATGTGGCAACGTTGCACCATAGATTAAAAGATGTCTATACTCCTTTTATCTATGGTTGCACTAGCCTTGTCTTGTGATTGGCTGCCGCCAACTGCAAACTTACGTGGTCCCGACTATAATTTTCGATTTCGATAAGTGAGGCATATAGTTCCAAAAGCAGGTAGCCTATGTCCAATTTTTGTCGAAATTGAGGTGGCAGGTGTTTATAATACATTGGAAACAGATCTACAAGCCTATCCAAATGGTTAGTGCAGGAAAAATATATATCCAGACCTTTTTTCTGTTGAAAACTGCTGTTAGAATCAAATAAAGGTAAATCCATTGACAGTTCAAACCAACAACAGGTATCTCCATTGTAGCCAATCAGAATACAGCTCCTCCCACCAGGGGCCCATCTATATCTATCTATCTATCTATATATTAATAGGCAAGCATGTTTCTTTAAAACCTTTTTTCTCAGCTCGTGTGCATCGTAGGGAAAATCTACGCATACCGTTAGAAAGCTATTTTCCTGTAGGTGTGCAGAATCCCTTTATAAATTTAAATAGGCTCAAAGATAAGCACAAAAAATGAGTTTAAAGATTTGAAAAAATTAACATGGATCTTATGCGTTGCCATGCTGGTGACAAAATAACAACGAAATATAAACAGGAAATCAAAACAAATGGAAGAAACTCCAATCACATGTTTTATTTACAGTGTGGGGTGAAAATAGAGAAGTGAGTACATTACATATTTTTGGTCGAGTTTCGACCACTGGACGACCTCTCGTCTATATATTAATAGGCAAGCATGTTTCTTTAAAACCTTTTTTCTCAGCTCGTGTGCATCGCAGGGAAAATCTACGCATACTGTTGGAAAGATATTTTCCTGTAGATGTGCAGAATGCCTTTAAAAATTAAAATAGGCTAACAAATAAGCACAAAAAATGAATTTGAAAACTTCAAAAATTAACATGGACCATATGGGTTGCCATGATGGTGACGAAATAACAACAAAATGTAAACAGAAAATCAAAACAAAGGGAAGAAATTCCAATCACATGTTTTATTAACAGTGTGGGGAGAAAATAGAGAAGTCTGTACATTAATTATTTTTGGTCGAGTTTCGACCACAGGACGACCACTAGTATCTATAAAAGAGGAACTATGTATGTATGTATGTATGCGTGTGTGTGTGTATATACGTTATGGACTCCGAAACCGCTCGACAGATTGTAATGAAACTTTCAGGCATTATTAAGCATCTTTCAAGGATGGTTCGAGTGAAGTTTGGTGCAGATCCGTCAAAAGGGCTCTGCCCCAGAGGGTTTTAAGTGGGCCAATGTCAGACTTTTTGATCTACAATATTTACAAATAAATATAATTTAAAAGCAGATGTTTACTTTCACCAACTGTTTTGTAGGTTTGAATAATCACAACATTCTGTATTAGCATTAGTCATGAAGAACTAAGTCCAAATGTATTAAACCCCAATCGCAGCACACCTGTGCAGTCAACAACGTTTAAATTCTCCAATGTTAAATATTAAAACATAAAAACCTTTAGCAAACAATTTATGACAACCGCTAATTTGCAACCAAAAGGTGAGTGAGCGTAGCGAACGAACATCAACCTGGAGGCGAGTAAGCGTAGCGAACGAGCTAACCTGAAAACATGTGAGCGCAGCGAACGATTTCCAACCTGAAGGTGAGTGAGCGTAGCGAACGAACTTCAACCAGGACGTGATTGAGCCATGCGAATACTTTATGAAGTTAAGCGGGGCAAAGCCCGCGGGTACAGCTAGTTTCATAATAAAGTACAAACTAATATTTTTAGTAAATCAGCTGATCGCCCAATGCAAATCTAATGGAAATTACAAGTTACAAGTTGTAACTTGTAACTTGTAGTTTATTATGAAATGGGCCCCAGCTGTTACAGTGAGCTGTCTGCTGCTGTCTGAAATTGATGATACTTATGGTTCCTTCATATATGTAATGTGTACTTTTTAATGCGCAGAACTTATCAACATTTTTAGTAACAACCTATGTACACATACTAGAACGATTTATATTTAAATTATAGAAGTTAAATTCCACTGTCACTATTGCGGTAGCTGCCCACTCTTGAATCTACAGGACTAATACATTCATGTTAGAAAGTTTATCCTTTGATTATTGATAGATTTAGACATTTCATCCACATTTTAAATATGTCACCAGTTTTTAAATCGAAATTGACGTAATGAATTAAGCCACCAACAGATTGTGCTGATGTAAATTGCTGAATTCTGTCGAATTTGTGAACTTTTTAGGTTTTTAACCGAGTCCAGCTGATAGGATTACTTGTAAACATTAGCATAGTTTATGTATGTACGTATTGCCTAAGGGAGTATGTTATTTCTATGGTATTGCTAATTGTGGGATGTATATTGTTTGCTGGCAAGTATATGACACAGTTTTCAGGCTTCTCCTAGAAAATTTGGTTCGGGTGACTACCTGCTTTTGGTTCTACATGCCTCAAGTTTAAAAGACTCAAAGCTTATGTAACTAATTTAAATACTTACTCTATTAATAATGGGTTAAGAAAGCTATACAATAAACACTTATTGTAAAAATATTTCATTATTTTTTAGAAGCCGGCCTTATTATTTAGTGTTTTGTACCAATTTCTCCCGACTTAGCTGTTTACCAGTGAACATTTCTTGCATATTTATTTGATCTGACATATAAGTAGGTTTTCTTTACCACTGTGATTGAAAACATGATTTGTTTATTCTTCATGATTTTTTTACTCGCAAATTAAGTTGCATAGAAGAACTGGTAAAAATTATTCATCTCTCCAAGTGAGTGTGTATCTGGATTTCTTACTGTTAGACCAGACCTCTCTTTTACATTCTACTCTTCTCATACGAATAAGATTTCCTCTTAACCTCATCCTGTTTTCAATATTTCTTCTTCAAACTCAAGAAATTCTCTGTTCTTCCAACAAAACTGATTAACTGTTTAGATTATAGCCTCCTAAATATTACAAACATTAATATTTACTCCCAAGAAACTGGTGAGTTTATTTTTATTAGCTTTTTTTTAATTTGTTCAATGTAATTCTTATGGTAAACCCTGACCTTTGAAAGGGTCTCACGCCCTTAAGGGTAGGAATATTTAAATTCTAAAACCTTAAATGCAAAACTACGAATTGGGCCGAATATTTTGACCTTAAATGTTGAAATTGGTCCACAAATAAGGGAGGAGTACTGTTCACAAAAAACAGCCCTCACGTATTAATATAAGAGACAATCGTCATACTTTAGTTTTTAAAATGTCTACTTGTTCATAACGAATAACAAGGGGTACTGGGAGGTTTTTGGACACAGTTATAGAGGTTAAAAATGGATTTAGAAAGTCAGCAAGAGTTCCTTTCCAGGTTCCAGCAGGAGGATATGGCCATAGTCTTATGTTTTGAAATTCATTAATGCAATTGTCATAATTTTATTTCTTAAATGTCTACTTGCCCATAACAAACAAAGGGTGAAATGGGAGATTTTGGAGAATTGGACACAGTTTTAGGCGTAAAAAACTTCTTAAAGTCACCAAACAACTTTAAAAATATAAAACTTTCCTGGCGGAGGACCCCCAGACCCCCCTTCTTTCTTTCCAACCAAACGGGGGCCCTCGATACAACAGCCACTAACCAGATCCCCCCCCCGAAAATTTGTCCTGACTACGTCCTTGTAACTGGACATGACAGCCTATTTTTTGAGGAATAAAATAGTTCTTTGTGTGTTTTGCCTCACGTATTACAAATCCTTTTGTCACTTCCACATGACAACTTATTTGTCTACTGTTTTATTAGCAATTAAATGTGTCCAATGTGTGCAAATAATCTTTATTGACAGTATAGGTTAAAACAACGTTGAGGAAGTTGTACAATTTGACAGAGATCATTCAACTGACATAACAAGAAATAAGATCGGCCCTAAAACCGAATCTTGCAGCACTGTCACACCAAAATAACTTTATATAATTAAGAAGTTAACACGAAAATTAGAACAGAAACCTCTTACCATTGCCATCGACCATCTGATTTTTTTTTATTAATGGATCAGCTTTTGTGTCCGGTGTTTTGTGTGCTTTTGTGAATAGAGGCGTATCCCTGTTTTTACAGTAGGTCTACATTGTTATTTGTCAACCAGTTGAGCAATGCTATTTTAACTGAAGAGTATAACAAGGGATGTGTAAACTATTACTTGTCCTTTAGTATTTTGAATAGTTAACACAAAATAATCCTTATTTCAACCAAAAAGCAAAACAAGAATCGTAAAATATATCTTTAAAAAAAGATAAACTTTTGTATATAGTGTGTGTACAATATTTGGTGGTTTTTGGGTGTGTTGACCGAACTGCTGATGTTGACTGTGATTTGCCGTTCCCTGTACCCCCGGTTCCGGTTCCTCCACCTATAGTTCATTTCATTCCATTTCCATTTAAAAAAATCCGTTGTTTTGGTTGTCTGCTACTGGGAGTAATCTTCAGTATAATCTTTGCTAAATAGGATGTTTTTCCTTTTGTACTGTATTTGTAATTTGCTAGTATACTGTGGGTAGTTGGCTTATTATGAACACATGCTACAACTTCAAGTCTTTTGTTTACTTTTTCCTTGTTATTTAATTCAGCCAACATGGTTACCTAGCAACCCATAAGACTAATGTTAAAAAAATTTGATTTTCAGTTTCAGTTTTGCTACTACTACTGCACTGACTGCTACTGAGCTTGCTCTTCGCTCTTGGGTGGGGGCTACTCCTGCCAATACTGCTAAATCAAATGCTGTAATGTCAACTTGTTTTTAAGGTTAAGTTTCATAGTACTGTGAAATATTAAATAAAATGCGCCTAGGCCTCGTTATATGGGCTGGATTTAAGCTTCAGTGCCGGACGTGTGTACAAAATCGACTTATGTATGTATGTTCGTCCAATCCAAAACAATATAAATTTATTCCACCATTTAATGAGCTGGTTGGTAAAGTACCATCATTTCAGAACTTAGAGGTAACGTCTAGGTTAACTTATTCAACACAAAGTAGGCCTAGCAATTTTAATCCAGCTAATGATAAAAGTAGCCTAGAAAATGCTAAACCTGACCAAACGAAAAAGAAAAAAGAATTGAAAGTTTATATTTCTTTATTAGCATCAGATGGAAACTTTATTTCTGTCACAACCATAGAAGAAGCCACAAAATTAGCAAAAAGAAGAAATATGAGACTTAGCAAGGAAATGGATTATGACCCAAAAACGGGAAGAGCTGTTTACAAGTTAGTGACAGAGTCTGAATATCTAAAAGGAGATACTGATTGGGGGGATTCAAAATCAAGAAAAGAAAAGGGGAAATCCACTAAGGGAGATAAAGTAGTGTCTTTAACAAGTTCAACTGCTGAACACGATGTGTTGATAAAGGTCAAAATGATGCTAAAATGGTTAGAGAAGAGACATGAAGTCAAAGTAGTCATAACGGGTGATTCAAAAAATGGGGTAAGTAACTTCATATTTTTATCTGTGGCTCAAGTTATCGGACCATTTTAGTTAGGTTGCTCATAAAATGTATTTAGTCAACTAGGATTGAGCTTGGCTGATAATCAAAAAGCAGAGGATACGCGTCTGGTGACCGGACGCTTATCCTCTGTGTAATCAGAAACTGTCCGTCGCGCCACTCTCATTACCACCAGAGGTTAACATAGCAGTACTCAGCATTGAAGAGAAACCCTTCCTGACCGCCACCGCCCACCATTACGAACACCATTACCGCAACGTTACGTTGTACAGCCATCGGTCTCGGTGGTGTAGTGGATAGCGCACTGGGCTGATAATTCGAAGGTAGCCGGTTCGAAACCCACCCTAGGCATTATCTTTTTAATTCGATTTTTTTCATTATCAGCAAGTTTGGTTGGTTTGGTTAGGTTCCCTACCTACGGTACCTAGTTTTACTAATTAAAAAATTAGGCTATATAATTGATTTTGAGACATTTATAATTTTATTTTATGAACAGAACTAACTTAATGTTGTTATCAGCAAGTTTAGTTAGACAGATTAATTATTTAAAGTTTGGTTATGACAGTTAAATTTATTTAAATTTAACTTAACCTACAAACGATACGTTTTGACAGCGATAGAGATAACAATTCCCCACGAACAGTTCGGCTATGATGTGTTCTGCACGGTGCGGTGGTGGGCGGTGGCGGTCTGTCGGTTAACGTCTCGTCATTGAAGTAGCCTAGCATAGCAACTGCTATTTTACAACTTCCAATTTATTTCTTCTCGACCAATATTAAGTTACAACTTAGGCCTAGTATGAAGCCTATTTTTTCTCACTGATTATATCTTAAAATCCAGAAAATAAATAAATAATCTACGGCCTACCAGTTTAATTTACGGTAGGCCTACCTAGAACACACTTTTAAAATTGTAGTTTTACATCAGCCATAGAGCTATAAGCAAGGTTTTCTGGTAGGCCTATCAATGATTTTTTTTTTAAATATCGATATTTTTGTTTTCCTTTATGATCTATTACAAATTGACGATTGATCTTATTTAGACTAAAATATAGTCTATTAACTTATGGATTAAGAAATGAAACTGTTCCAAGCTAACCTAAAATAACCAACCAAACTTGCTGTGCCATTTAAAAACTCTGTTTAATAACAGAAAAGGCAAGTGAAACGGAATTTTATAACGTTGCAATTTTTACGCTTATAGGCCTACTGTTACTCACAAAAGACAGTAAATATACCTACAAAAAAGATGGTAAGTGGTGAACGATTTCGATTGGACACTCCAATCATCATCAGACCCAATAGGCAAATCTTGAGTTTATTATTATTTTTTATATTATTATTTATAAATTATTTTGCTTTCTGGAAACATATTAGCAAGGCCTATTAGTCGTCTGGGAAGGCTTAAAGTTTCTCACTGAGTCTGGCCTGTAATTTTAATATTTTGTTTAAAAAGTATAGAATATTCTGTTAAATGTATTCATTTGAAACATTTAAATCTATCATAGGATATATGCAACATTCAGCTGTTTTACTGTTTTTCAGGAAAATGTTTTCAAAATTATTGAAAGAGAAATTAGTATTAATGGAAGAATAGTTCAGAAACGAAGTAAGGGCCCAGATATACGTTTTCAAATACTTCCACCGAAGAAAACTGAAACTCCAAAAAAGATTGATAGTTCAAGAAATACAGAACAACAGGGTGAGGAAACCAAAGGTGTTAAAAACGGAACTTAACACCAGTGGAGTGTTTTGTGTTGTCTTACTTGAAAAATAACAAAAGTTCCTGTAACAAGTTCGGCCACAAGTAACAGGTAGAGAAAATTTTGTCTTATTGCATTCTCATTGTTTGTGTGACCTTATGTGACCTTAAACGCAATAAGCTTTTATTTTATATTTATATTTTATTATTATATTTTATTATTATTATATTTTATTTTTATACTGGATAGATAAAAGACCTAGCGTAATTGTCATTAGCTGATTCAAAAGATTAATAGGCCCTAAATCTACAAGAACACATTCTTTACTCTAATAATAAATTAGAGTAAAGAATGTGTTCTTGTAGATTTATTAATCTTTTGAATCAGCTAATGACAATTACGCTAGGTCTTTTATCCATCCAGTACATCCAGAGTATTTTCTACCTGTAATTTCACCAACTTCAAAATTATCTTAAATTAAAATCATTACATTTTTAAGATTAAATCCTTACAAATAGTGTTGCTTGTAACCCTGGTATTATAATGAAAGATTAAAGAACACATTGTAAACCCTTGCTTTTGCGCGTGCCAGACAGGTGAAGCGCAGCCTTAAGGTCAACGATCAGTTATTTTTTTCTGGGTTATTATAAGACTGAGACAAGCTTGCTCTTTACATATTAAGCCTGACACCTAACTATTTTTTCTTCTGAATTTATGATTTGTAAGATAACTTACTGACTGTATTTTGTTTGGTTACTGTATATTTTTTTATAGTAATTATAATTTTTTTAATAGATGAAAAAACCTAATTAATAATCACGATAATTAATTCAAATTATTATTTTTCATTATTTGAGCTTCTCTCATTGTGTAAAAATGCTAAGTGAGAAGTAAATACATTTTAACCCTCCCAGTGTTACTTAACGAAAATTCGGCAAGCACCACACTTTGTATAGTGTTACTTGCCGATTTTTCGACAAGCAGACATCGTTTACGGCGAAGGCTCTATAACTGACTGAATCGGATTGAACTGGATCGAGTTAGGTATCGTTCTTTCCGTTACATTCTAAGCTGTCTCCAGATGTCTGTCTCAGCGCTGTATTTTTCTCCTAGCCGATCATAATTGATGCAGACAGCTGACGTTCGTGTTTCAGCCATCTTGGTTATTTTACGTCGGTGCCTTGTGTGTTTTAGTAAGTTTATCGTCGTTTTTAGTGGTAAAAATGGACAGTAGTGATATACGTGGTGCATTATAAGAAGATTTAAGTGGTTTTGAAGTGCTGGTTGATGATCCTGAAGAAGTAGGTAGTGATATTGATGTAAATTATCAGCCAGATTCCTAGCTATGGTTAGGCTATGCATTCTTAGCTAAACGCTATGTACTGAAATCCGTTTTTCGCTCATAACTTATTTATTTGATAACTTACCTCGCTATATGATTATATATTTGTAATCCTCATTAAATTTAGAACAAAGTGGCTATTTTCAAATATTTATAGGCCTATAATTTATACAATTTCATTGAGCGCGAACTTATTTTTTTTTTGAAAATTTTCGAAATTATATTTTTTTTACCTAAAAATTTTTTTTTGAAAAAATGTTCCTTATGTTTTATATATAATATTGAAGCCCATGATTTTCCAAACAAAATGGTATATAGAACATTAGAATTAACATTGTTTTAAGCTTCTCAGATCCGTTTTAATAAAACCTTGCAAAGGGGCCAAAAATAGGTGGACATTAAGGCCTAAACTATGGACACTCGGAGGGTTAAATTACAAAAATTGCTTATCTACAAATTGATAACATTATTAAAGTGATACAGTCAAATTTGTGCTCATCATTTATGTCCTTTTACCGAATCAAAGTGTAGGCATGGCACAAGAGGGGCCATCTTGGGGGGTCTAGGGGATTCAGGGGTACCCCCCTGAAACATTTGTGTAAACTTAGTCTCCAAAATGGCAGTTTTCTATCATTTATTTGTCCAAAGTTAGTGTGCTAAATTATTTTACACAATGTGTATGCACTACTGTATTACATGCAGTATGTATATATATGCCCGAGGGGCGGTTGCCCCCTTCGCCGTCCTCTGGATCCGCAACTGATTGAAGCTTAGAGGTGGCACAGCTCTAAAAGACATGCGCCTCTAAGGTACATCTCATCTCCCATACAGAAGCACCGGTTAGACACTATTCCAAAACGGATGTACTGTCAGACACTTATTCCAAAACAGAAGTAACGGTCAGACACTTATTCCGAAACAGAAGCACCATTCACGCAATATTTCTAAACGGAATCACTGGTCAGGCACTGTTCCAAAACAGAAGCACCATTCACGCACTATTCTGTGAATAATATATTATTATTATTTAATTATTCCGAAGATTGGTAGCCTATTCCGAAATTGAAGCGCCGGTCAGGTACTGTTTCGAAATAAAATTAAACTTTCACCGCGTTATTCCCAAAGGAAGTACAGATTAGGAACTATTCCAAATAGGAAATGCCGCTAAATAAAACCCTGCTCCGATGATATTTTTTGGAACAGTGTCTTTTGGGTCTCCGATAGTGACCAAAAAAGGTTTGCAGTTCTGTCTAATTAATTTTTATTTAAACGGTTGACGTTTTGTCCACCATCGTTATCAAGTTTTATCACCTCACCCTCACATGTTGTCTCTAAGTCATCACTTATCTTCCTTCTTCTATCACCACATATTTTGTTTGGTCCTTTTCTTGTAAACTGCACCTTCTTGACTAGAAACGTAATTATGGATGGAGCTTGTTTTATGACATTAGAGTTTTTTGATATCAGAGACCAAAACCTATGCCATGTCTGGTCTCTGATTTCAACAGCATAATCAAGTGCAACCCTTCTCCCTACATGGGTCAACAGTGTGACTAAATCTTGTTCGGTTCCAAAGCGATCCAAATAAGTGAAGAGGGTTTGAATGTACCATGAACCTGCCGTGGGGATACTCCAGGATACGAATCCAGGGATGGTGGAGAGGGCAAGAAGGAAGTCTGGAGAAGAGGGTAAAACATAACTTGGAATCAGAGTTGACTTCTCCGACCCCTCATCTGCCACTACTCTGACTCCACTCATAAATCCATAACCTTGACAAGCATCTATTACGAAGATCTTCGGTTTGTTGGCCAAACTCGGTGCTCTCTCCGGGGTGAAATATGACTAGAGGTGACTCACATCGAACAACACGTCTTTGGCTAGCAGCTTCCCTTCTAGACCGTGACTCATGAAGACTAACAAGAAACAGTCACATTTCGAATGATCCATTTGGCTGATGTCGGCCAGAGCTGTAGTTATTTCGAAGAATGTCAAGTCAACAAAGAATTGAAGATCGAACTTCAAATTATCAAATGTCCGACGCAGACTTTCCACGTCTTTATCACGTCCAGGATGTTGATAGCTGAATATGGCGGCTACTCCGCGACGTGGGTTATCCATTTTATAATACGTGTTCTTGTTCGACTCTTTACTTTTAAGACAATAATAGGTTTTTTTACATACCTCAGTCAAATAGTCCAAAAATGGTATTGCTCAACAGCTTACATGTTTCGTTGCGAAGACAACATTATCAAAGCTTGTCTTCGCAACGAAACATGTAAGCTGTTGAGCAATACCATTTTTGGACTATTTGACTGAGGTATGTAAAAAAACCTATTATTGTCTTAACAATATAGTCCAGGGGCCGAAAACATGAATTTTGATTCTTTACTTTTGGATGGAGCTTGTGGTATTCTGGCCGAAATTTTGTTCCTCACAAATTCATCAGTCATAATTATGGTTGGTTGTGTTTTTTTTAAAGGGACGATAATTTTTCTAACCTTTAATTCCAATTTAGGGTGGTTTGTTGCTTGGTAACGGTTTGACATAGATTATACTTCAGTCAAACAATATAATATTCCCAGATGAACCTTCTAAAACCTCCTAAATGAAATCAAAATTTGCTAATCATTTAAACAAATGCGCTTCAACTGTGCGGGTTTTCAAACGTGTCTTTGTAACCAGGATTGTATGGGTCGTCACAGTTAAATCACATACACCCTTTGCTTAGAGTAGGGTATGTAGATTTGCTGAAAAGTATGAATGGATTTCTTAAGGGCTCTACCTCAGGTCAATTTCCAACGGGCTGAAAATTTAAGGAGACCATTATGCTTCCATGGTTGAATGATAATATTTGGTTAAACTGATTATGAAACTGCTGGTCAATGCCAATAAGTTAACAGGTGATTTTTTTTTACTTGAAAGAGTTTGTTTAAGGTGATTTATTTACATTGTGTAGCCAATGCCTAAATTTGTGTTATTTAAAAGGAAGGCTATGTTTAGTCAAAGAAATGTAAAAATTGCTCACAGCTTTCTTTGTAATTTATATAGTAAGCTACTGGTAAAGAGGCTTGACTAAAAATGAAGGTAAAACATCTTTTCCATGTAACATCATCAATATTAAGTAGGTAATTGATGTTATTGGTTATTGCTTCACTAAGGTGTTGATTCCTTTTTTTTTAAGAGGTTGGTGGCCTCTTTTAACCTTGCATTTGCCCGTCCACATACTAACCGCCCGTGCGTGGAACGATTACAGCAAAGCAAGGAGTGAGCCGGTACAGTACAAAGGTGAACTGTGCTGATAAATTTTAGTGGCAGTGACCAGGATCCGAACCCACGACATCGCTTGGGTCTGAAGTTCGTGACGCTACCGACTGAGCCACCGACTCACTACACTCATCTTTGGGATCTGACATCAAATTTAGGACCGGTTTCCAAGCTTGGGTTTAGCTAAGTTCTAGACTTAAACCAGCTTTAGACTCGGAGTTTAAAAAGTGGCTTTCCGAGTCAGGGCGTTAGCGAACTCCAGAACTTCATAGACTCTGGCGTTTATTAGGCTGGTTAGACTCTGGATTTAAAATTTGACTTTCCGAGTGAAAGATATATAGATTTAGGACTTAACTTAGATTCTTTTCTCTTTCCAAGTCAAGGATTTAACAAAATTCATTAAGTCTAGGATCTAAAACAGCACAATTTTAGATCCTCGCCAATGGCAGGATTTAAATTAGATCCTAGACTTAACAGAGTATAAACGCCTCAGTTGTTGTTTTGAAGTCGGCTTGTGC